AGATGGGATGTAACTAGTAGTGGAATCCAAGAATGCCTTTCAACCTATTTCGGTTTTGCAATTGATTTTCATTCCAGGATTCAAAACAGTACTCACAATGGGTTAAATGTTTATTTACTGAGTCTACGTAGCCGCTTACTTGTATAACCGGTGTGATTTTTAATTCAAGTTGTAAGAGGATAGGATTATCATGTTCCTCGAAACTGTTCTACAACAGTTTATGGCATACTGGCTATAACGAAGCAATCAACACAGACGCACATATCCCATCTAAGACCGTTCAAAACTCAATTGAAATATTAATGATTGAACAATTCAAAATCACTATAAATCGAATTGAGTTATGAGCTTTATGAAGATTATTTATTTTTTTGCAAACTAACATTAGTCGGAGAATGAGTAAAAAACTAAGAAACACTGGTGGACACTTGTTTCGTTTCAATAAAGAACAAACAGGTCTGAGCACGAAATCAAACCATAAACTTTCAGATCTATTCTTAAACACGGCATCTTTCAACTACTAAGTTGATATCTAGTGGTTTATATCCCCAATATAAAATAAAGCAACAATCAACCAGTACTCTTATCAGATAATTGATTAATCTTTGAAATAACTGATTTTCACTAGTCATACGTACTTAAAGTATCTTAATAATATATGTTAAAAACAGTTATCAGTAAGCAAATGATCATTAAATGATTATAGGAGATTAGTCAAGTCTAAAAATGGATTTCATCATGAATTATTTTTCAGACTTCAAGGATAAATCATTACCTATGATATTTTGAACATTCAAGCAACTAACTCTATCTGAAGTTCTGGGTATAAGTAAATCACTAATCACATACTAAGAAAAAGCTATTTGATTGAATTTCACTTTTAATATTTACTCAGCTGTTGTATATTTGTGACATAAACCATTTACAAAACAAAAGATTTTAATTTATATAATAATCTAAGAATTTTCTATGATAACAAAACATCTACCATTATTGTGAACCATAATAAATTATAGTCTAAAGGATAAAATCAAGAAAAGTGTGCATGAATTTGATCGGATTCACTTTTAAGATAGTTTAATATATTATCTAACTGTCATTGGCAGTAATTAAGTAAGTTTTTGGAGATTGTTCAATCTTGCGGTTTACATCACGGACAGATTTTATTTAGACAATCATTAGAAACTATGAAACATTGGACAGTGGTCTAATGGTTAACAGCTGATGATGATACCTGAAATTCTTGGTTTCGATCTTTGATGGGGTGGTAGATACATCTTGCTGGTGATCAGTGTCATGTGTGTCAGATACTCCTTAGTTCAGATTGAAACCCAGGTCCAGGATTTCCTGTTGATTACCACCAACAACCATCTTATCTCAACATAGTGTACGCAATATCGAGTCATCTAGACTTGTTGTCACAGTGCAACTTGGTTGATAGCATTCGATCTGCACTAAGAAGGAACTGACATACATGACAGTGATCACCACCTAGTGATCAATCAATCGCAAATACATCTCAGTATTACAAGAAGTCAGTCGCGGCCCAGATAGCTTAGTACTAAGGTCTCTGACTATGAAGCTGGGTGACACGGGATCGAATCCTCCAGGGAGCATCAGTTCCCTCAAGATTACAGGTACATCTTGCTCGCGAGTGCCAAATGGCACGAAACCTAGGTCCATAGTTTCCTGTTGACTACATCCAAACACTATCTTATCTCAACTGGGTTCGATTTCCAGCGTGAATACTTACACTGGAATTTGTTTATGTACAACTAATGAGTTCCAACTAGACCAAAACCCATATCCAAGACTTTACTGTCAACCACAATCTGTATATTTTTTTTCTACGAAAATTTGTGTCATTAACATTGTTAGCCGAAGATTTATTTTACTGTGTATCTGTGTTTCTATCTCTTTACTCAAAAGGGTTCAGACTGTGTATTCGAAATTGAATGACATAAAATTAATTTGAATTATTTAAAAAAAAAAGTATTTTGTTGAATGAAAGATTTACCGATTCCTTCAGACATTTGACCGTGTGTAAACATGAAAAAACAGAAGGAAACTCACGATTTCACTTACTTGTTTGTTTATCTATATGTTGTAGCTTTTCATTTTGTTATTATTCATAATAAAATATATAGGAATAATTTCTTTTTAGTTAACCTACTGATGATGCCGATATAAGTAGTACAGATTATATTCATAAAACTTCACTGACCCAATAATGATAATAATAAACTTGATGATATTGATAAATATGACACGATCATGCATCAACCTTTGAATATTTTTTAAGTATATGATTATTATCATTATCTTCCTCTGCCATAGACATTACCGACATTGAAGTTTGTTCATAGTCTGTAAATAAAGGTTTATTGATGCGTATTTAGTGTACATATGTGTACATGTGTACGGGTAGGCAAAGGAATATTATGTGACCTAATTCCACCGAAATCTGATGTTCATATGTAAATTTCCAACATATTTTTTAAAAAAATTAAATAAATAGAATTGGTTGAAAGCATGAAAATTTCACATTCGTCATAATCATCATCAAAATTGTCAACAACATCATCATCATCGACAATAACAATAAAATAAATAAAGAAAAAGAGAGAGGACTACTTAATATCGGTAAACAACAATATTATGACCTAGACAAAAATAGGAGAGAAAGATAAGTAAATAGATTGAATAAAGAAAAATAACCGAGAAAATGTACAGGAAATAATAAGCTTTTATTGTAATACATCTAACTAGGTAATCCAGTTGCATTTGAATCATTTTTCAGATATTTCATGAAAATACTAATGATATTACTAGACTGTGATGATTAACAGTATAGGATTATGAAGATTGTTGAATGTTACTGAAATCTTGAATCGATCTAAGTTAGATAACCATCGGAAGATTGCAACTAAAGGACGGCCTTTTTGTCTCGGTATGGGACTCCTCAGTAGTGCAAATACACGGCCTCGTATCCGGGTATCGAACTCAAGATCTTCGGTCTCATATGCTAACATCCAATCTCTAAATCACTGATCCAGTACTGAATGGTGTACGAGTCTAATTTTAATCAGTCAACAACACCGCAACCATTTTTCATTGAACTCCACTGCTCATAGATCATCACAAGGACCTCGCGAATTTCCTCTCGAAGCTAGACACCAGTAGTCACTTGATAAGTACCAACGATAATCAAATTTAGGAGGGAAATTTTATTCTACAGTCAAATGGTTGACAGTAAGTTGTTATAGATAATAAGCCACTGATAAATAAAATAGACTACTGGTTATAGAGGATAATAATCATAAATATATGGCCGTAAAATATATTTTCATAAAATAAACATCAGTTTAATATAGTGTCCAGCTCATATTCAATATAAGTAAATTCTAACAAGTATAGGTCATCTTTTAGATAACTTATAACTTCAATTCCCTTCAAACCAGGAATTTGTGTACAGAAGCGATATATGCAAGCCCTCATTCTACCATGGCGTTAGTAATTAATTTTCATACTCAGTTAATCAGTTGTTGATATGATTTTTAGTGTTTATTTATTTTGTGGATTATTTGTTATTATCAGCTTCGTGTTTCTTTTACGAACTTTTTTATCACCTTTAAGATAGTGGTTGGGGGTAGTCGACAAGAAACGTTGCTCGACCTAGGTTTCGTGCTATTTAACACTCATCAGCAAGTAGTATCTATAATCTTGATGGGACTTACGCTTCCTGTTGACTATCTCCAACAATTATATTAAATCTCAGCATAGTGCGTACAATTTCGAGTCAGTTAGACTAGTGGCTACATTCTAGCCTAATCGATGAAATTCGATCATCACTCAAGAGAAATTGACATACATGACATTGGTGACTACTCGATCGGTTGTAAATTCTCCATCATCCTCACACCTATCTACTGGACAACTATTGTTCACGTATTTTGGCTTCACCTTATCAATTTCTAACTTGTTGTTCATAACTTAACCCTCTTCTGATGCCTTAAATTCCCAAATAATTTATTAATTAATCCCCTACCTATTGTTTTAACAGACCACTACTATACTACCACTATAAATACAATTGTACAATCTGAGTAAACAATATGGTTGAAAACGAAGCATTTCTTTACTGAAATGTCTTTTGTTCTTTTTTTATTAATCAATTCACTAGGTATTTGCTTGAAGCTAGGGTTTACACTAAATATAAGGACTAGTCACCTTATTCGGTTGCCTAAACGAAACAGGCAGCATGGAATTCGAACCTGGTACTTGGTGACTGACTAACTAACTAATTAACTACTAACCCACTGCTTCACAAATAACTTTTGACAGTAGTGTCAATTATCATGTCTTTGAGTGAGATCGATTGCAATTACTTAAATAACACTGAAATCTCCCCGATTTTCGGATAAACTATTCTAACAGAATATTGTTGAGATGATTCATTTGTCGGTCTCCATATTCGGTTTAATTCTTGTTGATCTATAAGGTCAAGAATCAAGTTACGGGGGAGTAACAATTAAAGCAAATAATGGAAGCTTTGAAAGGACAAGAGTCAACAACAACAACCAATTAATAAAGCTCAAGTTCGACGGAATAGGTAACTGTCAGTCATATGTGACGAAACTTGAATAGCGCATTTCTATCGACAATCTGTACTGATGTTATTATTCAGAAAGACAATGAAGACTTCACAATGAAACTACGTAGATTAAAGAAATAAACTTCGCCAGAATGATCCAGCTGAGCTATATCATTTCAATTATTAAACCATGCAAATAACTCAGTAATGCAGCACTAAACAATTAAGTCACACAATGACTTGACATCTATGGTTGAATCATAAATAAAATAGGATATGTCATGTATCTGTAATGGGTTCAAGTTGTTTATTTTCACATCACTACATAAAATTAATAAAACAAGAAGAAAACAACGAGGAAATAATAATATTTTGTAAACTTTAAATTTTATTTATTATTACTGTTATTATCAGAAGCTTTATTCAACATTATATTTTTGGTACAATATAGAATTCTCAGCATAAAGTATTTGAACAAGTTTCCTTTTCTTATATCTTGATCGATTTTGACGATAAATTTTGAATGATGACCAGTTAGATGTTATGAGTTCGGTAATCCACATTTGATTAATGTTCATTCGTTTCAATGCATATTGACACCCACTATGATGTCGCTGATTGTACCTTTTTGTATCCCGTATAGCGAAAGGTTGTAAACTTTTCATAAACGCGCCTGAATAGATTGTGAGCACAATAGACATAATGATATGCTAAAACAAACAAGAAAACAGATAACTTGATGAAATATCTAGATCGGTAGAACAGGTAGCCCAGATATTCAAGCAGGCCGCCACGTACTCAAATAAGTAGTGAATGTAAATGAAATTGATCTAACTAAAGTTACTTCAATTTTCCAAAACAAATATTACAAATACTCCAAAGATTATAGACCTCACCCTCACCGCTAAATCTCAATTTGTAAATGAAATAACGATTTTACCCATTCATATGTGTAACTATGAAATAATTAAATAGTTTTATTATCATTATTATTAGTAGCAGTATTAATTTACAGCGTTTTCTTTCTATAGAGAAATTACAGATTCAATGAAGAGTCAAAAGTCTAATTCAATAAACGAATATTCTTCTTTTACAAATTTATTATTTCAACCACATCATTTATCAGCTTTTTCAATTCCATCACCAATAAATAAAACACAAAATGTTATTAAACAATCTACTAATCATGAAAATCTTCCAATAATTAATAAACATTCAAATTTATCACGACAAAATTGTAGTACATCAATAAAACAGTCTTCTAGTAGTAATCCAATACAATTAAATTTACAACCATTTATCAAAGAAAATGACACATTTATTAATCGATCATTTTATGCTCAATTATATAATTTAATGTGCTCAAAATTACCAAATATAATACCTTATAGTAATAATAATAATAATAATAATAATAATAATAGTAATAATAGTCTATCGAATAAACCACGATATTCCCCTTATCCAATTCCATCAGATTTTGAAAGAAACAAATTAGTACATGTATTCAACAAACCATACTCTTCAACACATTCCAATAAAATCAATATTAATCAGATTGAACATGTAACCAACTTTGTACAATGTTCCAATAATCCCGGTCAATCTAAAATACCGATTTCAAAAGTTCATGAACATAATAGTAAAAAGAAAACTTTATCATTGAAGAGAAATAAATCAACCAATAATAATAGTAATCAGTATCAAAACTCATCAATAAATCTATATTCATTAAACCGATGTAACAGTTGTCCATCAGTAATCATTTCCAACTCATCATCATCATCATCATCATCATGTTACTTAAATAATCCCTGTAAAAATTTAAAGTTTCGTAGTATAAGTTATGATTCATTAGTATTAGAAAAACAAAATAACTTGAAAAGATTGAATGAGTTAAATAATTTTCAATATAATTCATTGCATAATCAATACTACTATCAATATCCATCAGAAATGTCTTCATCTTGTTCAATACCTACTTCATTACTATTTAATTCATTGAAACAAAATTTTATCCAGAATCAATCTATTAAACACAGTCAATCCAATGTAAATAATGACAGTAACTCAATAAATGGTATAAATTATACTGAAACACCGGTATCATTTCTTAAGAAATGTACTAATGAGATGAATGAAGTAAATAATATTCCTGAAGAAAATAATAATAGTAAATCAATACAAACACCAATACGTGAAACATTTCTACATTATTACTGGGCATATTATTATGAAGAATTAATGCGTTATTATATTCAACACCAAATATCAACAATGAATAATTGTTCTGCTAATTATAGAAATTCAATGAATACTACTATAATGACTACAACTGATAATTTACAATCATGTACATATTCTCAATCGAAATCAACCATAATGAATGTCAATAAGAATAATAACAATTATAATAGTAATAATAACCTTATTACTGACTCATTGAGATCACCTGTTACAACATATAATACAGTGAATTACATTGATCATTCTAAAAACTATGATAAATTGAAAAATGTTAATCCTATGAAGAATACTACTAATACTACGACTACTACTACTACTAGTAGTAGTAGTAGTAGTAGTAGTAGTGGTGGTAGTAATTATTATAATAATCATCAAACTAGTGAAACAATGAATAGTTTTCATGTACCAGAAAAAGTAAAATTTGAGAATTTAATAAATTTACAAAATAATTGTGTTTCATCATATAGACAAAATGATCTAATATGTAATAAAAATTATATGCCGAATTCTCTCTTGACACCTAATACATTGATTCAACAGGAAAATAAACATCACAGTCATAAACCTTTTGACAGTAGTATTGAAAACAGAAATATTGTACAAACGATGAATCATCAAGACTTATTGATGAGAACACCTACTTTTCCTGTTACTGTTAGTTTAAGTACTACTGATATTAACCATATTAGTAATGAGCAACACATAGTACCATCGGATAAACGATATTTTATAAATCAGTCGGATAATAATATTAGTAATATACATAATCTTCCAGGAATGAATAAACCCACTCGGTTAAACCGCGACTTACATTCTTTGCGTTTGTCACCTGTTGTCAGAGTGTGTAGTGATAATATTGATGGTGAAACAAATAGTGATAAAATTTTAGAACTACGTCAATATTCACCTTCAAAAAGACTATCATCTTTATCGTCATCATCGTCATCACCAAACATCAGTGTGCCGTTCTCAAATATAATGCCCTCCTTAACAGCATTATCATCACGATCATCAGTACTATCGCCGCAGACAAAATTCTGTCGATCAGTATCTATACCGCTGGATAATCCCAGCGGTTCAATGACATTAAAACGTGATAATAAACGTAATGATACATGTGAATATTGCGGTAAAATATTTAAAAACTGTAGTAATTTGACCGTACACAGGCGTAGTCATACAGGTGAAAAACCATATCAATGTAAATTATGCAATTATGCTTGTGCACAATCATCCAAATTGACAAGACATATGAAAACGCACGGAAAAGATGGTAAACCGAGATATTTGTGTAAATATTGTCATACACCATTTATAGTACCCTCGACATTGGAAAAACATATGCGTAAATGTATGCATGGAAAACACGCATTAGGATCACATACTATTACACGTCATAAACAAATATTAAAACAAAATTCTCCTGGAAAATTTATACAATCTTGGCTAGTAGCGGCAGCAGCAGCAGCGGCTACATCTGATCTTCATCTGGAGTGTCAAAAGGAATTGTAGAAAATGATCCCATAAATTATAAATTAAACAATTACAAAAAAGTTAAATCACGTGCTTCTCCAATTAATACACTGGTAATGACCAAAACAACAACAGATCCTTTAATGACAACAAATAAAGATATGACAGTTACATGTACAACAAGAACTACTGATCGTATTCGAAAAAGATTAAAATATACCAGTTTACATCATTTAAATAAATTATCGAATAAAACAATCAATTCGTCAATTCATTATTTACTTCCCTTGTTACAAAACAATAATAATAAATATTATTCAACTAGCAAAAATGTTCCATTCGATATTGATTCACAATTTAAACATATTTCTAATGACTATAATACTATGATGTGTGAAAAGAGTCAGCTGAAACCTTCATTCACTTCTGGATCCTATAAACACTTAACTAAAGATATTGAGAGTAGTAATATTAGTGATAAAGATAACTTATTCCCAACATCAGTTTTATCCTATACTGATCATATAGCATCAGTTAAACAATCAACAATCAATACTAATCATTTATTTGTCCCACCACCTTGTATACCGAATTCTTTATTGAAACCATCAATTTCACCTATCATAACAAACAATACAACTTCATTTTCAAACACAATAAAAGTGAATGCTTCCATGTCAAATAATCATCATCTTACTGAAAATACTACTACTATGTCTACCAGTAGTAGTAACAATAATAATAATAATAATAATAATAATAATAATAATGGAAGAAATTTATCATTTTTAATGTCGAAAATTCTAGATAATTCCCGAAATACAGAATATTACCGATTAATCCAAATTCATCAGTTCCATCTTCAACATTATACATCTGAAATGTACTAAAAAGAGAGAGAACAACAACGACAACAACAAAAAAGTGCACATTTAACAAAAAAAATAATATTTTTTATGTATTATCTTAGATTATCACACTTTTATTATAAGTATCATTATTATTTATTGTTTAAACAATATCTATATTACTGATAATAATGATAATAGTAGTAATATGATTATTATAAATGAAAATAAAATACTACTGTGATGTGTTTATTAATTGATTAATTTCACTTCTAATTCTAATCTCTTTTTCTCCATTACGTCACTTCTTATTGAATCTTTTTTTCTTTTTAATTAACTAAATAAAACCAGTGACAATACTACTTATTAATTAAATACATTCTAGATTAAGTAATATATATATACTTTATAAACAAACATTTTAACAAGATACCTTTGTCTCTTCTCAATTGGCCATCATAAGCATTTCTTATTTTTAAACAAGAAAATGTACTCTCAATTTGTTTAACTAACTAACTAACTAACCAAAAAATGATTTAATTACTTATTTATTTAATAGAAGTGTAAACAACATTGTTTGTTTAATCACTCCATATAATGGCTAATATTATTTTTATCCATTTAAAAAGAAAAGAAAATATGTTGAAACCCTTGGAACTGCTTTTCTTTTTTAAAAAAAAACTAAAAACTAACGAACAAATCGTTTCACTTTGCAAAACAGAACAAAACTTGAGATGTTAATTACTATATGTAATGATATGTAATTGTAGATTTATTATTGAATGTATTCAATGAAATAAATATTATTCCACTCATTGTTTATATACTTTGATACTACTATTATTGTGCTGGTAAATCCCTTAGAAACAAATGCAATCGAAAAGAAGAGAGAGAGAAGGGGGGGATTAATTAGTTGATTACAATTAATTACACTATTTAGTGTGTATTACATTCCTACTGTGTAAGAATAGATAAAATTTAACTAAGTAGTCAATAGATTATTCAAACGATATTTAATTAGTAAAGGGTTGTCATGGAGATTGTCGAATATTCGTAGTTTAAATCAGGAAGCACTGACCACCTTTACATATATGAGTATATATCACCAACGGATTTTTCGTTTACAAAAAAAATGGTAGCTGTTGCATACAAGAATATACATAGTAACTTATTCCTAATACACAAGTCTGCGATTCCTTTATTTTTTGACATCCGATTGGTTGTTCTTATCTTTATTTTGTTAATTTTATTGCATCGCAAGTTCATGTTTGTTGTTATGTGTTGAGAATTGTTACCACCTCAAATTTCACTTTTCAAATATCAAGCTTTGTTTACATTTTTTAACTTCTCTCTATCTTCTATTTCATTGGAGATTATTTTCGAAGTGTTGTGCGTTAGAGTCTTCTAAATTATCAAGCTTCGCGTTGATTCAGTTCTTATTAGAATAACATCCCAATCATTCACAATTAAGAATTCCCATTAGACTGGAGAGTGAAACTCACGGAAATTGAGGGTCTATGTTTCATGCTCGTTGGTATCTGTAACACCAATGAAATTTAGATTCTGTTATAAACGGAAAGTTCAATATAAAGTCATTCGAATAAACAATAACAGTGGAACTCTAGTTCAGTCATTATCAAAAATTGAATAAAATAAAACCAGTTGACATTATTTGGTTGATTAGTTCATTATACTCGAGATTAAGTCCTGGATAACAGTATTTTATCTATCATTAATTCATACTTGATAGGTTAAGTCGTACAAAATCATATTTTAAATTAAGTACTTACAATGTAATCCAGGTCATTCAGGCAGTAAGCGAATCAACTATCTATGTAATCAAATGTAGCATTCAATTACTGGTAAATTTGGATTTAGTATACGTCAGATTGAATAATTAATTATACTAAAATCCAAACGGAATCCATCAAGTTAGTAGGTTACAATGGTTAAATATTGAGTAATCTGTTAACCGAATAAGACATGATTACAACCAATACATATTACTCGAGCCCCCAAATTCCCTGGCACAGCTAAGGATACAGAGAGTCAGCTCACCCTATCGAAATGCTCTCACAAGGCCAGACGTATACATCCACTGCCAAGATAGTCCAACTCACTGTCTTCTCGCTACATAACTGTTGTTTACCAAATCGAGAGGATGAAAAGTGAATGTCCAGCGCTTTAACCGGGTTGGTGGAAACGGAGGGCCAACTAGGGGAGTTGGGAAACCCTGATTTCAAACTGATGGCGCACATGGGCTCCAGGATCCTGAAGGAACAAATGGCGTATAAACCAAGTGCCCGTTGCTGGCTACCATGGGACTGCATCTCCTGACGTTGCTCCACTGCCATGTGGATCAGATATTTAGGTCAAAGGCTTCCGGTGTGGTCTCCTAAGAAACCACCTGTTTCGGTCTGGGCACTCGGGAAGTATAATAGCCCACACACAAATTACGTGACTTGTGTGACGTATATGTATTCGGTGCCCGTTTATATCAATATTTATGTGTTCAAATAAATAAATAAATAAATAATACTTTTTAGTATTTCCGTGGAAAATCACAAAAAATTTGAATAATAAATAGTAAGTTTAATTAAATCTTACTAGTGATAACAATAGCTCCGCCTGTAGCTCTTTTAGAGTTACTGCCGCTCCCAAGCCCATGTAAAGGAAGAGGGTTGGGCATGAGGTTAGCGTCCCCATCCCGTAGAAAACTAACTCGCTAAAAAAACGCTAACCAGAAAAAATAATTCAAACAATTTAAACTCTGCCCTGGGAGTTAGAAGGTCTTCATTACAAGAACTACAACGCCTCATGGTGAAAGCCGAGTTCCTTCGGAAGCCTTGAGGCCTATGCCACTTCTAACAACCAGAACAACAATTTTTATAGGTACATGGAACGTCCGAAAATGTGGGAGACTGGGAAGACCAGTCAAATAGCAATGGAAATGAGGAGATACAACTTGGCAGTACTGGGAATCAGCGAAACCCATTGGACCCAAGCTGGACAACAAAGGCTAAATACGGAAGAGATGCTACTATACTCCGGTCATGAAGAGGAAAATGCTCCACACACTCAGGAGTTGCTCTAATGCTGTCCAAAGTAGCACGAAATGCACTTGTAGGATGGGAATCTCATGGATCCACAATCATCAAAGTATCATTCAAAAAAAGAAGGAGGGGATCACAATGAATATTATCCAACGTTATGCACCCACAAATGATAGCAACGACGACATTAAAGACCAATTATACGAGCAGCTGCAGTCAGTCATAGAGAAGTGCCCAAGAAAGGACCTCACCAGATATCATGGGATGACATGGACTGGGAGAAAGAAACGAAAATGGAGAAAGATTTGCAAATCTGTGTGCATTCAACAAATTGGTCATAGGAGGCACAACATTTCCACAAAAACGTATACCCAAAGCTACATGGATCTCACCGGGCTACACCACAGAGAACCAGATAGATCATATTTGCATCAATAAAAAGTTCCGAAGGACAATGGAAGATGTGAGAACCAGGAGAGGAGCTGATATAGCTTCAGATCACCACCTAGTTGTGGCCAATTTAAAACTGAAGCTAAAGAAGAACTGGACAAGTGGACAAACAGCACTACAAAGGTTCAATACTGCCTTCCTTCGAGATACTGACAAACTCAACGAATTAAAGATAGATATCAACAACCGGTTCCAAGCCTTACAGGATCTACTGAAAGAACAAAAAACTACTATGGATGAAAACTGGAAAGGTATCAAAAGAGTATTAACTTCAACGTGTCAAGAGGTTTAGGACCGCAAAAGACATCATCATAAGGAATGGATCTCTATAGAAACACTGGACAGGATCAAAGAAAGGAAGAACAAGAAGACAGCAATTAACAACAGTCGAAAACAAGTAGAGAAAGTCAATTCACAAGATAAATACACATAAACAAACGAGAAAGTGAAGAGGATCATTAGAGTCTATAATTAGCAATGCGTGGAAGAGCTAGCAACGACAACGGGAAAAGCTACAAGAGAAGGGTATATAAAAAAACTGTATGACACGACGAAGAAACTGGCAGGGAAATAATAGTAGACCAGAGAGACCGGTCAAAGACAAAGAAGGCAGGCCAATCACTGAAATTCAACAACAGCGGAACAGATGGGTAGAGTACTTCGAGGAGCTCCTGAATAGGCCGGCTCCAATGAATCCACAAGACATCGATGCAGCACACACAGATCTTCCTATAGATGTCAATCCACGAACGACGGAAGAAATCAGGATGGTCACCAGACAAATCAAGAGCGGAAAGGCATCAGGACCCGACAATATACCAGCTGAAGCATTGAAGTCAGACATCAAAGTAACTACAAACATGCTTCACCTTCTATTCAAAAAGATTTGAGAGGAGGAACAAGTGCCGATGGACTGGAAAGAAGGACACCTCATCAAGATTCCAAAGAAAGGAGATCTGAGCAAATATGAAAACTACAGAGGCATTACACTACTGTCAATACCAGGGAAAGTCTTCAACAGAGTGTTGCTGAACCGGATGAAAGATGCAGTAGACGCCCAACTTCGAGATCAACAAGCTGGATTCCGTAAGGATCGGTCGTGCACAGACCAAATTGCAACACTACGGATCATCGTCGAACAATCAGTTGAGTGGAACTCATCACTATACATCAACTTCATTGATTATGAAAAGGCATTCGACAGTGTAGATAGGAGGACATTATGGAAACTTCTTCGACACTACGGAGTTCCTGAGAAGATTGTCAATATTATCCGGAACTCATACGACGGACTACAGTGCAAAGTAGTGCATGGAGGACAGCTGACAGATGCATTCCAAGTAAGGACCGGAGTCAGACAAGGCTGTTTACTCTCTCCCTTCCTCTTTCTCCTGGTGGTCGACTGGATTATGAAGACCTCGACATCTGAAGGAAAACACGGAATACAATGGACAGCTCAGAATCAATTAGACGATTTGGACTTCGCAGATGACCTAGCCCTCCTATCACGTACACACGAACAGATGCAGATGAAGACAG